CATCTCATCTCATCTCATCTCATCTCATCTCATCTCATCTCATCTCATCTCATCTCATCTCATTATTTCTATTCTCATTTTATATCTTTCCGTCTAGGCTTTGCCTTCAATTTTTTCTATTTCATATCTTTTCTGCGATTCTTTTACTAACTTCAATTCTCCTCTCCACGCACTCAAATACAATCTCACTTAATTTTTTGTGTGTGTTTATCATTTCTGTAATTTCTCATTTTAGTTTTCATTTACGAAATGTAGTACTTTCGGCTCCTATGCCATGGGAATTAACTTTGGTCTACTTCTTATCTTTTTTATGGTGCCATATCGGCGTTAATCCTTCCTTCTCCATGCTGCACATGATCAGCAATTCGTACATGCCCATAGACGGTTGTCTTGTTGACTTCTTTCTTAAGCATTGCCCCACTTTGGCCGGTCAACAAGTCGACAAGCGGACGGACGGATGGACGAACGGACGGCCGAGATGGCGGGCAGAGGGGGACTAACAAAGTGGTCATTCACTCTTGAAAGTGGTTCCAACCGATCAAGATAGTCTTCGGGAGGGTGGGAGGTCAAGTCGGATCGGCGATGGTATCCATGTCGCGACGACTTAACACAGCATCCCCCATCCCAAAACAGACAGATGAATGTGCACTTAAATGTGTACAAATAAATGGCCATTTGTGGATTGAAAAAGGTTCTGGGGGGGTGGTTTCCGTGGGGTGGTGTGGAGTGAAGTGGAGTGGAGTGGAGTGTGGCTGTCCGATTGGGCGATTGAAAGTGGCCAAATGAACAGACGGTGTCCAGCCTTTTTGCCAAGCGTGGTCTGAGGCTCGGTCAAGTCAAGCGACGACGTGGATAATGGCACTGACGCGATGACATGTTGTCTTGTATGCATGTGAGAGAGCCAGTTTGTGCGACAATCTGAGACGGGGTGGATCGTGGACGTCTCGGTGGTAGAGGCGAGGGGGAGTGTCAGCTCTAATCTGGTAGTTGTCTTTATATATATCTATATATATATATATATATATATATGTGTGTGTGTGTGTGTGTGTGTGTGTGTGTGTGTGCCACTTCCGCTCGAC